GCATAGTCCCTGATTTTTTTAGCATGCAGGTATGACAGTCTACAAACTCAAAAGCAGTTTCATTTATATATAAAAGCACCATTTTTCATAAGATAGATTTATTAGCCTATATTGCTGCCTATTTCTTATATTTAGTGTATCCCACATTTATGTGGTGATACATAACTATCTTACAGAAGTTAACAAAAAAGTTCTCTCTCACAAATACGTGTAAGTTGCAACTTTCAGCTATACTATTCAGAACTAGGAGAAGTGAACTCACTGGGTAGTTCTGCTCATGTGACTTGCAAGTAGATATAAAAGTGCTAGTATTAAACCCAATAATCTTGATATTTTTCGAATTTCTGAATTTTTTTCTGGTATTTTTTGAATCTCTGATTGAGATAATGGTTTAGGCTCCCTGCAAATTCAGGAAGACAATGGTTTACTCAGAATTAACTGTATGCCTGAATTATCTTCCTCCCAAAAAGGACCAAGAACGTGTGTCCTAGTCCTGCTCCCCTGAAAGCAGTCATGAAATGCCTATTAAACTTAGTCTTAAGTGAAAAATATTTTTAAAACCAAAGAAATTCTAAAGCAAATTCTGCAGCAGAGAATCAGTGTCATAGCAGCTTCCACACTGTAAAATATACAGTACCACCTAAGCTGGTCTTTGATAGTGATTGAATTATTGCACTGAATGTATGATCCACAATGCAACATGGATGGCTTTACTCCACAAATATCAGAATATTCTCAACTATCTTTTCCCAAGTCACCAAGCATATGACCACAGATTTCTGAACAGTCAAAACTCTGCTTTAGACAAGGAAATATACAACCTTTTTTTTTCCTCCCCAAAGATTTTGCACATTGATAATTTTCAATGGTAAATTCTACTATCATTTACAACTGCACAAGGAATCTTTACTGTTTCACTCATAAATTGTGCTAGACACTGTACAGTCATAACACAATGACAGGCAAGACAAAAAACCCGGAAGAAATACAGTTCTTTGCTAAGTTCACCTGTCATCAAGATGTATGTTTTTTAACTTAGAAGTTTAAATGGAAAACAGGAATTTTCAAAAAGGAAATAACAAGGAGGCACAGGTGCATCAACAAAAAGATTTTGAGGTAGTGCTCTGCTTCGGAATCTAAGACAATTAATGAGAGAAGAATTACTTTCGCACTGTGTTGTGCCTACAGGAAATGCAATAGCGAGACATGACATTCAAAACATATTCTCTCTTCCTGGAAGACCAGTATTTCACTGCCTTCTGAAGAATCATTTATCAAAGCTCTATTTTGTAAAATTTTGCAGAAATATTAAGATGCTGGTGTCCATCCTGCAAACCTCTACATATAATAAATTCAAGAAGATGCTATCATTTTTGTATGTGGACTTGGACATTGTCTGCTGAATATTTCCTTTCAGTTACAGACTTCATAAATAACCTTCTCCTCTGTTTTCAAAAAAACAGACATGAATATTCCCTTTCCAACAGATTCTGAAGGATTTGTGGATAGCATGCATGTGTTGGAATATCTTTTGACTGCATAGTTTAAGGCAAAAATAGCACAGAATATTCATGGATTCAGTGAGAACCTTAATTTTAAATGTTAAGATGTTTGAAGAACAATAGTTTTACTTTGACATGTGAAATACTGAAATCTAGTGGATTAAGAACTACATCTTTTTTTGTGAAAGGTGCAGTATGAAACAGCCTGCAGACAGAAGTGAAAGCTACCAGAAAGAACATTTTTGATGGAGATTAAAAAAAAAGACAAGGTCCTGAAAAACTCAAATTAAGTTAAGTAAAAACAATGGAAAACATCACAGAACTTCACCAGAGTTCTTATGAGAACTAGGATAGAATTCAGTTCTGAGAGAACAGAAATATGGAACCATAATGAAAAAAAAAAAAAAAAAAAAAAAAAATTCTGTCTCCAAAGGAAAGCCTGTCAGATATCATAACCAGCATGATGCTGGATACTCAATAAACATTCATCCTCTTATCCACATGCTCATTCAAGATCTCCCTGAGGTGTGCTGCTAAAAAGGACAAAGAACCCGAAGTGCCTGCTCATTTGCATGAATTTCAGCAATATCTAAACCAGTTAATCCAAGCTCAATGTGAAAATCCCAGAGAGATAAAATTTTAAGCCCAGTTTATATAATCTTAGTCTACCTGGAACTTGACCACTGCAAGCCAAGCCATTAAATCAGTTCTAAATATACTCTAAATCAGTACAGACTCATTACCAAAACTTGCAGTTTGTCAGTTTGCCACTAGTACTCTAACTCTTAACAGAGCAGCCAGTAAACTAGAATATCTTTTCTAAAAAAAAAACCAAAAACCCCCAGATCATGATATACTGAGGATACTGAAGACAGAAGGGCAATATGGGGGCACATGGGACAGAGAAGACAGCTTACGGATGATGATTCCACTTCCAGCATAAAGCTTTCACACACATAATACCTGTTCCACAAACTGTACCACCTAAACTGAAATTCTTTGCTACGAGTCAAAAACTACCAAAGACTTCTGTTCAGCTATCTAATTGCTCACTGTTCATCCTGAATTAAGGTAGCAATGATGCCTTTTCTTCTAAAACACACAGGGCTAAGATGGTTGGAAGTTTTATGCCACTCAAGATGTCAGAAAGACTTCCTTGACCTGGGATGATTACTGTGCCCTACTATATTGCTGTCGAACAAATAAGCCTCCTCTGTCTATTACAGTTCAGACTTGTGAGCTATTCATCCCTACAGCAAAGTATTTGCAGACTAATTTGCATGGGAGCTTTAAAGCAGTTTACATTTTCTCCCTATCTCTATCCAAATTTCCTGCTTTGACCTAACATATATTTTAGCTTTACATGCTTGAATCTCCCATCAGGTGGAAATAAGACCATGTTCAGCTAATGTCTGGGAAATCTCCTCTTGAAAATGTGAATGCTCTCTCTTTTCACTGTTATGCTCCAAACACAAAGCATCTTGGCAGGACAATCTAAAATAGGTGTAGACAGAAACAGCAGAGAAGGTTGCATCTTGCATTTTTTTGTATAACACAAGCATCTCTACTGACAGGAGGAGGCTAATAAAACTACTGGTTACTTTTTTCCAATGAAGATAATCTCCCTTGCCTCAAGAGATCTTGTAACAGGATCAAACCTCAAGATACTGTGTTGTGACACTTTAGGAGAAATACCCATTAGAGGGCCTAGATAACTTTTCTCAATTTACAACTCCCATTCTAATAAACCCTGAAGTATTTTATTCTGCTTTGATTTATACTGTTTTCTACCCCTAGCAAATAACTGATCAATGGATAAAAATTATACCTTCTTGCCTGAAGGCAGTTACCAAGGCAGTGAATAACTGCACATAGTCTTGGGGAATAGTTAACTAAAGTACAAGAAATAATACTGAAAATGACTAGATTGAAATTAAACATTTAAGACATTCATGGCAAGACTGCTAAACAAGAATGCAGGAATCAAATCTGAGTCTGTTGGACTATTGCTGCTATTTCAGTAGTAAAACTCATATTATGACCTGGAAAACTGGACTGCCTCATGGACATATTGCTGAACAACAGTTTCTCTTTCAACAGCCAGAAGAGCAGGTTCTTCTTAGATATCAGAGTTAGAGACTAATAATCAGGAAATCTCAAAAACAAGGAAAATTTGTATCTCTTCCCACCTAGCCTAAAAAAAAAGCACTAAATAAAAGATAAGAGCAAGCCCTCTGAAGAGATTTGTGGCAGAAAACATAGAAGGCAAACAGATGAAATTAAGAAACATGGTAATTGACAATTGATAACCACATTTCAGAAAAAGATGCAAGAAACAGTTAAGGAACAACCTGCTCATAACAAAGTTTCTGGCTAAGTTCAATTAGAGATTGGATTATAGGCAGTATTTTACTTAACTCAGTGCGAGTCTATTTAAAGAACCACATAAGCGTCTATCCTTTATGAAATTCAATTAATTCAGCATAATACTGTTTGCAGGAAAGTTACATACCATTATAAATATTTCTCTTATGTCAGAGCACCATAATGTGTGTTTCATCTAATGATTCTTCAATTGATGTAAAGGTAACCTTCAGGGGACCTTGCAAATTATGGATTTGTTATTGACAAGATATACAATTATTGCATATCTATGATATAGTCACCTTCTTTGCTTTTCCCTGTAGATCAGTAGTGCCAAGCAGCGTGTCTTCAGAATCCCTATTTGTAGCAGAAGAAACAGAAGTCAAAGACACCTTCCCCCCACCATGATAACCTTACAAGTGCATCTAGTTTTGACTGACTAGCAAAAAGGTGGGTACAGTAGTAAGTACACAGTACTACTGCGGAGTTCTTTATCATATCTCCCGTTGCAAAAAACAGGTAAGTTCTCATTATTGTCAGCCTTATGCTTTCAAAACATAACTAATTAAGACATAAATTTTCCTGTTTTAGTGTTCATGACTTTATGACAGTCACTTTTCAATTGCCTACTTTTCTACAGATGCTGTGCTCTTGCTTTCTTTCGCACATAAATACAATTTCCTAAGCCTTCATCTATTGTTTAGTATCTTACAGAAAAAAAAAGCAGATGCATAAGGGAAAGCATGTAACTAAGGAGACAGCATCTGGGACTGCTTTTTCTCTAACGTAACACCACAAACTTTGGCAGGGAAAGGAAAAACACGGCCATCCAAGAGTGATCATTGAGAAAAGGTAAACCCACCCCACAAAACAGCGTCTACTTTCCCAGAATAAATTTCAACAGTAACTTTGAAAGTGAGCACAGGCTGGAAGATAACAGTAAGCACCTTTAAAAAAAAATAATAATCCTTTACATGATTGTATTTTAAAATCCTTATCTAGGGATTTTAATGGTATATACATCTGCACCCATGTCACTGGGCAGATATAAGAATTGTGCTCATGGCCAGGGGACTCTACATCAGCAAGAATGCAACTGAACATATCAAGTTGCAGGATGCAAGCTGCACCCACCTTAACATTTCCTATCACAGCATAAAGACGTAAGTAGTATTTTTAAACATCTACCACAGCAGCAGTATTTCCAACAAAGCCACCTCTTAAAAGACTTGGGTCCAGACACAACTCTAGGAAGTACAGTATCTCACATTCTGCAGAGCTCCCAAGAACATAGCTGAGGGGAAATAAAAAACAGCGATAGGTTTATTATGAATATGCAATACCAAGTCAGTGCAGTAAAATCTGATGAACAAATATATAGAAAAGCAACAAAGACAGCTAAAGGCACCAGGACATAATTTAGTAATTATTGTGATCACCAGTTCAAAGCGTAAGACTGGAAAGACAGACACACATGCCCCAAATAAAATATAAAAATAAATAAATTCAAGCTACTCAGAAAGTCCAAGCTCTTGTAGATCAGAAGCAGAGCATATTTCAAGATGTAAATCCCCACCAAATATTTTTCTAAATCAAGTGAGCTCCCCATAAAACACACCCTGTGGCCACAGTCAAGCAGTACAATATAAGAAAGCTGCAACATCTCAAAAATGCTCCCTGACAACTTCTGGTAGAAAAGAATGTGTGTGCCGTAAAGGTGAAAACGCCTGGGCCATGATTCCTCAGGAATTTAAAGGAGTGAAGGTTCCACACTTTATTATAATGCTGGCTCTCAACTTCCTACTCAGAAGTAGTCCAATAAATTATCATGCCGTTATCTACCTTTATTGCTTCTTCGTGTATTTAGCATTCACTTTACGTTCAGTCTCTCCTGGCTTTTGTATCTCTCACCTTACTCCGTTCCAGTAGTGCCCGTCACACCTTCTCACGCGTGAGTCTGCAAACCCTCACACCCTGCCTGTGCTTCTCGTATACCCCCCTTGCCTCTACCCCCCACCCCGTTTCTCTAGTCCAAAAGACAAATCCCCTACCGCGCACCCGGCGACATCTGCTTCTCGTATACCCCCCTTGCCTCTACCCCCCACCCCGTTTCTCTAGTCCAAAAGACAAATCCCCTACCGCGCACCCGGCGACATCTGACCGCACCCCCGGTTCCTAGGATAAGCCCCCGGGCCGCTTCATCCGCCCAACCCGGCAGGCAGACGG